TATACTTTCACTGTTGTTGCTTTGAATTGCAAATTGCAAATATGTGTCAACAATTTGTGATGCTTTCTCTCCCAAATGTGACTTTTTTCAACCTTGAAATACTCAGTATTTGGTTTTAGGAGAAATTTTGCCAATAATAAAAATTTTAGGTATCTTTGCTTATAATCAAGCTTCAGATTCTTGAGTTTTCAGGGCATTCTTGATATTAATTTTTAAAAGTGTGGCAATTTAAAAGGTAACATTTTTTACCTGTAGTTTGAATCATCAAACTTTCAATATGAACAATGGAGAGAATTAGTCACATGGGGACATTTCAAGGCACCGTGATGGTGCATGTACTGTTTTGCTGCCTGTTTTTCCTGAGATGGCTTTGTTGCATGAAGCTCTTATTATTTAAGAGCACTGAGCTCTACACTCTGCACTTGGGAAAGAGCACTAAAATGTACAACTTGTACCAAATAACTGTCTTTATCCAGGTAACTGAGGAGGGGTGTGAGCACATGGGTAACAAAGGATCTCATAATCTATTAAAAATTCTACATAATTCCCATGATAAGTTATATTAGGGGGTCCTATGTGATTACTAAATTATGTGTTCAGTGATTCTAATCTTTAATAAACTTCCTGGATATTTTAGTGTTATAAAAATGCAGAATGGGGCTAGGGATTTAGCTCAGTGGTTGCGTTGCTTGTCTCGAAAGTGCAAGAACCTGAGTTCAATCCCCAGTACCAAAAAATGTATCCTTTAAAATGCAGAATGATATGTGCATCTTGAACCCCAGTGTACTTACAAACCAATTTTCATTTTAACTATTTGTAGAATATTTTAGTGTGCAGGTATTTCTAATCCCTTAACAAGACTGACTGAGTTGATATCTTTTGATTTGTTTCTTCAGTATTTTGCAGTTTCATTACACCATAGCACATAGTCCTATAGAACATATATCAATGTAATTTGATGTCTTTAACTCTTTGGGAAAGATATTCACAAGAGGTATAGCTGAGTCAAATATAAATTCTCTTATTAGCTTTTAGAAGAATTGCTACATTGTTTCCATAATGGTTATACTAGTTTATAATCTACTACTTGTTGGAGAAAGAATTATATCAAGAATAAAGAATTAGAGTATGGGATGACAAAGGGTGGCCACTGCTTGGAATTCAAGGGCTGCCACTATATAGCAGTTTTGAAAGTATGGCAATTTTCACTATATTGATCCTTCCTGCCCAGGGGCAGGGGATGTCTTTCCATTTTCTGATATCATCTTCAGTCTCTCTTTTCAGAGTGTTATAATTTTCAGAGAAGAGGTCTTTGATTTCTTGTTAGGTTGATTCCCTGGTACTTCAGTTTTTCAGATGCTATTGTGAAAGGAATTGTTTGCCCTATTTCTGTCTCAGTGAGTCTGTTGTTTGTGTAAATGAAAGCTATTGATTTTTGTGTATTGATCTTGTATCCAGCTACTTTACTGAATTTGGTTATTAAGTCTAGAAGACTTTCGGTGGCATTCTTGGCATCTTCTATATAGAGTATCATGTCATCTGCAAATAATGACAATTTGACTTCTTCATAACCTTTCATTATTCCTTTTATTTCTTTCTCTTGTCTAATTGCAGTGGCTAATATTTCCAAAAGTATATTGAACAGGAATGGTGATAGTGGACATCCTTGTCTTGTTCCTGATTTTAGTGTAAAGGATTTCAGGTTATGACCGTTTAGTATCATATTGGCTGCTGGTTTTTAATAGATGGTTTTTATCAGATTTAGATAGTGATTGTCTATTCTAATTTTCTGTAGGTTTTTTTTTATCATAAATGCATTTGAATTTTTTCAAGTGCTTTTTCTGCATCTATGGAGATAATCATATGGCTATTGTCCTTGGCTGTATTGATATAGTGTATTACATTGATTGATTTGCATATGTTGAACCATCCATGCATCCCTGGGATGAATCCCACTTGGTCAGGGTGTATGAACTTCTTGATGATCTTCTGCATTATATTTGGCATTATCTTATTAAGGATTTTTG